CCAAAAAAGCGGCCGCCCGCCGACAAACTCAAACACCAAAAAACGCAAACACCGCCGCAAAAAACCGCCCGCATCGCACGCCTGCCCGCCGCCAACCGCAAAACTCCGCAAAAAAACGGCCGCCCGCCGACAATCGCAATCACCGCAAAAACGCAAACACCGCCGCAAAAAACCGCCCGCATCGCACGCCTGCCCGCCGCCAACCGCAAAACGCCGCAAACGCCGCAATAAAGGAAACCGCCCGCATCGCACGCCCAACCGCCGCCAATCGAAAAAGCCGCAAAAGGCCCTACCCTACCCTACCAATATACATACCCTACCCATACCCTATTCCTACCCAAACCCTACCCTTCCCATACCGTACCCTACCTATACCCGGCATATGTACCTACTCATACTTGACTGAGGAGATTTACCAAATTTGAGTGCTATTGTCCTACCTGTTCTTGAGATATATAAATGGACCCCTGCACGTGCGCATGCGCTTACTGACACTCCAGATGACTTATGTTAGCCATCTGTCTAAATTGTCCCTAACAGTGTACAAAAATTTGATTGAAATCGACCCAGGGATTCATCAGATGTAGAAGCAGACCCCCACACGTGCGCACGTGCATGAGTCCACCCCACCTGTGACACATGACCCTACATCGCTTGGTGAGTGCCCTGCCTGTCGACAGTCCAAGTTTCAGCGCAATCGGCCCAGAAACGGCTGAGTTATATGCAAGTACAATTTTCAAGGGTTTGGCGATATCCCTAAGCGGGCGGTGCCTTGCAGCCTATGCCGTGCTGACTGATGGTCAAATGTTTAAAGACATGCCGGCTATAAGCCATCGATCGGATTTCATCGGAAAATATGTCTAACGTTAACAAAACACGGTGGCATGCCTGAGTCATTTTCACGGAAGTTTATTGACTTTTTGATAATATTTTGGGTGGATATTGATCAGAAAAGAATGCGCTATCCGAATATGTGTGTTTCATGGTCAATTTTCAACGTTTTCAATACGATATCGTGTTGTAAAGGACAGCGCACTCGGCGCGCATCAAACTTTCAAATGAATTTTACATTATTGAAGAAATGGTAGACATAATCACTTTTTGTTTACCATCATCCATTTTCTCATATATTTACCTAAAAAATGGTACCACACCGATTTCATTCGGCCAAACCGTTTTCAAACGGCACCGATTTTTCTTCCACGATGCACGAAATCGGTCATTTTTTCACAACAATTGGTCCTGATGTGCACGTGCTGCGCCCAACGTTATAAAACCATATCAATACGCTAGCTTCATCTCTCCTCTATCGATCGGTGGCAACCGCGTGTCGCTGTGACAACTGGTCGTCAAGATATAAGCCCGGAAAGGAGCACGCGTCGGACCGATTTCGGCCGATGTCGCCGTTTTTCGCGCCCCGTGCTAAACCAATGGCGAGCGTGGCTCGTGCTCGCGACCCTGCCAGAGACGCACCCCTGGTCGGATTGCGCCCAAATTTTGATACGATCGTTCGATTTGACCGCGCATGTCGACTGCCAAATTTCACGCTCCTACATGGCGCCGTTCCGGCGCAAGACACCCAGATGTGGATGACACTTTTCTTTTGTGACACACAGACGTACAGACCGACAACTTCTCTTTTATAATATATCCGACTACTATGGACGTCAAACCCCTTGAGACCCCACTTTTTTGCGATAATTTTCAAATTTTCAAAACCGCCACCAAACACAAACACCGCCGCAAAAAAACACCCGCATCGCACGTCTGCCCGCCGCCAACCGCAAAACGCCGCAAAAAACGAACGCGTGCCGATAAACTCAAACACCGCAAAAACGCAAACACCGCCGCAAAAAACCGCCCGCATCGCACGCCTGCCCGCCACCAACCGCAAAACGCCGCAAACGCCGCAACAAAGGAAACCGCCCACATCGCACGCCTAACCGCCGCCAATCGGAAAAGCCGCAAAAGGCCCTACCCTACCCTACCAATATACATACCCTACCCATACCCTAGTCCTACCCATACCCTATCCATACCCTACCCTACGATTACCTTATACCCTACCATACCGAACTTTACCCTATCATACCCAACTTTACCCTACCCTACCCAAACGGCAAACCTACCTCTACCCTATCCTACCCATACCCAAAACTACCTCTATCCTATACAATACCCTGCCCATACAATACCCTACCCTACCCTACCCTACCCTACCCTACCCTACCCTACCAATACCCTACCCTTCCCAAATCGTATCCTACCTATAGCCGGCATACTCATGCCCCACTCATACTTGACCGAGGAGGTTTACCAAATTTGAATGCTATCGTCCTACCTGTTCTTGAGATATGTATAAATGGGCCCTGCACGTGCGCACGCGCTTAATAAACTCCAGATCACTTATGTGAGCCACCTGTCTAAATTGTCCCTAACAGTGTACAAAATTTGATTGAAATAGACCCAGGGGCTCATCAGATGTAGAAGCAGACCCCCTCACGTGCGCACATGCATGAGTCCACCCCACCTGTGACACATGACCCTACATCGCTTGGTGAGTGCCCTGCCTGCCGAAAGTCCAAGTTTCAGCGCAATCGGCCCAGAAACGACTGAGTTATATGCAAGTACAATTTTCAAGGGTTTGGCGATATCCTTAAGCCAGCGGTGCCTTGTAGCCTATGCCGTGCTGACTGATTGGCAAAAGTTTAATGACATGCCGGCTATAAGCCATCGATCGGATTTCATCGGAAAATATGTCTAACGTTAACAAAACACGGTGGTATGCCTGAGTCATTTTTACGGAAGTTTATTGACTTTTTGATAATATTTTGGGTGGATATTGATCAGAAAAGAATGCGCTATCCGAATATGTGTGTTTCATGGTCAATTTTCAACGTTTTCAATACGTTATCGTGTTGTAAAGGACAGCGCACTCTCCGCGCATCAAATTTTCAAATAAATTTCTCATTATTAAGGAAGTGGTAGCAACAATCACTTTTTCTTTTCATTCATTGTATCACACGTGTAATTACCTAAAAAATGGTACCACACCGATTTCATTCGGTCAAACCGTTTTCAAACGGCACCGATTTTTCCTCCACGAGGCACGAAATCGGTCATTTTTTTCACAACAATGGTTCCTGATTTGCACGTGACGCGACCAACGTTATAAAATCATAACAATACGCTAGCTTTAGCTCTCCTCTATCGATCGGTGGCAACCGCGTGTCGCTGTGACCACCGGTCGTCAAGATATAAGCCCGGAAAGGAGCAGGCGTCGCACCGATTTCGGCCAATATCGCCATTTTTCGCGCCCCGTGTTAAACCAATGGCGAGCGTGCCTCGTGCTCGCGACCCTGCCAGAGACGCACCCCTGGTCGGATCGCACCCAGATTTTAATACGATTGTTCGATTTGACCACGCTTGGTGCCTGCCAAATTGCACGCTCCTACATGGCGCCGTTCCGGCGCAAGACACCCAGATGTGGATGACGCTTTTTGGTTGTTACAGACAGACCGACAACTTCTCTTTTTACGGAGCGAGCGAAGCGAGCGGAGTCTTACGTAGAATAACGGAAATTTCTGAGTATGAGCGGCCGGCCGGCCGGCCGGCCGTGCGGACGCTTTTGCGAGGCTTATATCTCAGCAACCACTTGACCGATTTACACGCGGTAATTTTTATAGGGTAGCTTCATTCCTTCTACCAAGTATTGGACTATTCCCGATGCATGTGGGTGACCCCTTATGCACGTGCCACGTGCAAAACGAAGAGGTGTCAGTTTTGCAATTGTTGCAATATTTCGGTAACTACTTGGCCGATTGCGCTGAAAGTTGGCATGTAGGTAGGCACCCACTAGGCACTGCATATCCATGTGCCAGAGTTGGGGTGCCGCTGCACGTGCGCACGTGCAGAGGTCGTTTCCAGATCTCGAGAACGGCTGGACCGATTGCGCTCAAATTTGGTACACAGTTAGGGACCGGTTAGTAGGGTGCCGTGCAAAAGCCAGTCGGGACCCATTTTGCACGTGCGCACGTGCAGGGTGCCGCTCCCAGATCTCGAGAACGGCTGGGCCGATTGTGCTCAAATTTGGCACATCGCTAGAAACCGGTCAGTAGGGTGCCGTGCACAAGTCAGTTGGAGGTACCCCCTCGAAATTTCGCACGTGCAAGGCTCACCCTCTCGCTCGCTCCGTTAGTCGCCCCAAAAGGCGCTATACTGGTATAATATATCCGATTTCTGAGTATGAGCGGCCGGCCGGCCGGCCGGCCGTGCGGACGCTTTTGCGAGGCTTATATCTCAGCAACCACTTGACCGATTTACATGCGGTAATTTTTGTAGGGTAGCTTCATTCCTTCTCCCAAGTATTAGACTATCCTCGATGCATGTGGGTGACCCCTTATGCACGTGCCACGTGCAAAACGAAGAGGTGCCAGTTTAGTAATTGTTGCAATATCTCGGTAACTACTTGGCCGATTGCGCTGAAAGTTGGCATGTAGGTAGGCACCTACTAGGCACTGCATATCAATGTGCCAGAGTTGGGGTGCTGCTGCACGTGCGCACGTGCAGGGGTCGTTTCCAGATCTCGAGAACGGCTGGACCGATGCCGCTCAAATTTGGTACACGGTTAGGGACCAGTTAGTAGGGTGCCGTGCACAAGTCAGTTGGGACCCATTTTGCACGTGCGCACGTGCAGGGTGCCGCTTCCAGATCTCGAGAACGGCTGGGCCGATTGTGCTCAAATTTGGCACATCGCTAGAGACCGGTCAGTAGGGTGCCGTGCACAAGTCAGTTGGAGGTACCCCTCGAAATTTCGCACGTGCAAGACTCACCCCCTCGCTCGCTCCGTTAGTCGCCCCAAAAGGCGCTATACTGGTTTTGACAATACATATGAACAGTCAGCAATGTCAAGTGTCAAGCTTTGTGACAAATCTGTCAACCATATAACTCGTTCAGATGTAGCTTCCCATCATCCAGCTTTCCCTCTCCTCTCTCTACAGAGGGGAAGATCCCGCGGCCGCGGTTCTACTCTCAGGAGCTGGGCACGCACCAGAAGCTGTACGTGGCGGTACTGACCTCTCCAGAGACCGTGCAGCGGGAGGCCACCTACATCAACCACACGCTGGCGCACATCACGTCCTCCATCGGGTTCTACATGATCGGTGATCCCGACACGGAGCTGCCCAAGAACCTGCACAATGTCGTCATCTTCCCGCAGGAGGTAGGTTGGCGGGGCGTGGAATTAGGAGTGTGTAATGAACACTGAACAGGATACTTACTGAGACACTCGTCGTGACCTGCAAAAAAAAAAAAAAAACTTTTATCTAACGTATGCGAATTGTCTCGAGAATCGAGATTTTAAATGGGACTTTGCTCGACTTCCGATTCGATTTGTTGGCAATGTTTGGAGAAGAATCGATTCAATGCATGTTCACTTCGCACTAATATGGATTCCCTGCTACTTATTATTTGCCAGCAGCAATGCTCTTTTCTGGAGTAAGCTCAATCCATAATGCATACGCGTGTTCTCAGTAGACCAAATAACACGGATCCGTGAGTTTTGTTGCTTTATCGTCCCCGTTCTTCGGATGCCCCCTGGAGAGGCTAGGGGCTTTGGGAGGATGAGTGTTACATTGAAGTGGTCTTTGTGCTGTATCCTCACACTAAACACTATCTTGACTAGCACACTAAATGGCAGGGCCATTACAACAGTCCGGACTATTTCTTGTCATCGTGTCTGTCTGTATTGCGAGCGACTGTCTTCTGAAGAAGGCTCAGTTGTGTAAAAATGAATTTCCTTAGTAATCAGAGTCAGTAAATTCTGCTCAAAGACGCCGAATATATGGTTTCTCATTTGGTTTGTCGCTGGTCATCAGCTCAGCATAACGCTACGAACCTGGCACCGTTTAGGTATTGTTTACTGAAACGCCGTATCTAAGTTTTCCTCTCAGTCTGTATAACGGATTCATCGATGCTTTCCTAACGGATCACCATAAGGTTCATTATTTGAGCATAAATACGCGAATTTTTCCACGCAGTCCTTGATACCTTGCTGCCAATCCGTGACTTTAGATAAACGGTGTCATCTGGAATGAAAATAAGACATGTCCCGTTGGACTACAGTACCGTTACTAGCCCTCACATTTTTCTCTTCTGCAAGGTAGCCTCACTTCAGACGACTAATGTTAATTCCGTCTGGGATTAGGACCCTCCCCCGCAGGAATTAGGAGCCTCCCCCGCACCCCCATCACTCCACCTCAACCCGGCCACAAATTCCGAGCCGAGACGGCCAACCTTCGATATGAAATTCCGTCAGCCACCCCACGAATTCTCCTGGACTTCGTCCTTCAATTCATCCCCTAGCTTGACGTCAGCGTTGAGGTCATCAGCGTCACCACGACCGTTGAGAACTGATAATCGGTGCCTATATACCTGCCATAAAGATTCCACGATCCTCCACTGTACGTCATCGGCACAAAGATGGCGGCGTCGATGGTATTCTGTTTTCTGATTGGGGGTGATTTATATAACTGTGTGATAGCTGTCGCCTGGTCGACAGGACCGGCTAGGTTTGACATGGGAGCAGCGCCGTGCGTGGGAGGTGATAGATATCGATAGCACTGCTGAGTGCTGATGGTATGCCACTGATGGTAATTTATTGATGATGCGTCATTAATGGCGTGCCACATAGAAACGTCACTGACGTCGCATGTGGTGGTAGCACTGACGTTATGGTAATACATGGTGGTTCTGATGGTATATCACTGATGGCATGCTATAACTGAGCTCTCCACTGATGATGCACAAGTGCAGGAACGTCTCTTATAGTAAGTCACTGAAAGCGTGCATTGACGGACCATCCCTCGCACGATTTGCCGGAGCGTCACCAATGTCGAGTTCCTTTGAAACGACGGCCGACGCCGCCTGTTTTGTCCGACACAGTGACCGACAGTGGCCGTGGCCCGCTTTCACGGCAGCTATAGTCGGCGCGTATTGTGCATATCGGGGGCTGTGGAGCGCTGGGGCACGGCTGGCAATGCTGTGACGATGCTATATTTTAGAGCAGAGTTTGTGCTTAGCGGTACTGCCATCGGGATGCTATGATTGATGCTTTGTGAGGGTTTCACTTCACCTTTCTATGCAGTTGAATGGCTTAAGTATTCAGCCGTCGGTCTTATTTATCCAATTCGCTCCTGCTGCATCTAACCCCACCTGTCATCCCCTCAACATAACTCCCGCCTTGACCCCACCGTAAAACCCTTCTATTAACGCTTCCTCTTCCCTTTCCCTCAGGACGGCACGGACAACCTTCCGATGCGGACGGCCGAGTACGTGGCCAGCCACTTCGGCAACATGTACGACTTCTTCTTCATCGTGCGCGACAACACGTACGTGCGCGGCTATCGGCTGAAGGAGTTGGCCGAGGACCTCAGCGTCAGCACGGATGTGCTCCTCGGCGCGCGCCAACAGGACTCGTGCAGGCTCGGTGAGTACCGTGTGACGGCAGCGTGGGATCGATTTCCGACGGAGGAGTTGGTGGTGTTTGTATGGACTGTAGTGTTTTCTATTGTGTTTGGATATTTGTGCGGAAAAATGGTTGGCAGGTATTGACGGTGTTACTTTTTCTTTGCTAGTTGATCAACTTTCCGGTTTTAGTTGGAAGTGCAAAGCATGCGCTACCTCAAATGATGAAACCTGTAGGTTGCAGGCGTACGTATTTAGCTAATCCAGAGGGTGCGGATCCCGGCTATTTTTATCCAGATATAAGCGTATTTCATGGTTGTTACACTCTCCTCGACTACCATTCGGGCTGAACCGACCAGACCCAGAGCGCGGGACCGCTCCGCGATACCCGTCCCTTGTTTGTGCGGTGCTGCTCCTCGTTTTCGGGTCGCGGCGGCGGAACAGCCGCAGTGCTGGGAGCGGCCGCGGTGAAGGCCAGTGACCCTGCCGGCCGGCCGGTGCCGGCGCCGGCCCGCGGTCGACCGCTGAGCTGGTGGGCCGTCGTGCCGATCGGGAGCGACCGGGAGCGGCCGGGAGCCCGTCGCCGTGCGGTCGGGCGGTGAGGAGCCGCTGGATGGGTTGTGGAGCCGCTGTTGGGACGGTCGGGACTCAGGAGCCATAATGGAGGCGGGCCGGGTCGTCGGCCGCGGGTGCCCACGGTCCGCTGGGGCTGGGTATGAAAGGTGCCGGTAGGGCGGTGGATGAAGTACTGACAGCTTTGTCAGTGGCTCATGAATGATATTCTTGACCAGAAATGAAATATGATAAATTTTGCCGATGATTGATGATAGGCCGACGCATTGCGCACGTTTGGTTTTGCATAGCTTCAAATCTGTCACACTATTGGAATTAACAATATGGGCTGCATTCGTTGTTTTAACGCCAAATTGAAAAAAAAAGAAATACGACGATGATACAGGACACGAAAATCCAAGCCTGTCGATATATAAGTCGACTATAGATTGTAACCCTAGCGTATTGATCACGACCCGTCGCGCTTAGCCGAGCGGTAAGCAGCGCCCTGTCGCATAATCTCATTCTTCGCGACTCCTGCAATGGGGTCAAGGCGTCGGGCGGTGTCCCTGCCTGACCAGATCTGACAACGGTTGCCAAATCGGCGTGTGCGGTGGACCGAGTCATCAGGTTAGGTGTCGTACGGGGTCGACACGCCACTGAAGCGAACAGAACCGCTGGGTATGTCCTGTGGGTGTCCCTTCCCCCACTAGGGGACGAGACACCGGTCCCTACTGTGACTGGATGTGATAGTCGGTATGTCTGTGAGCAGGAGATATGTCCAGGGTTCCTGGTTGTTTGAAGCGAAGGGGAGGGATGGGTATAGAGTCCGCTGGACTCTGACTCTGTTTGTCTGTTGATTCGGCCGGTCGCCGGTTTGCTTTGATCGGAGTGGATGGGACTTAAGTCTGGCCTCGCTCCGTGTAACGGTGACTAGATCCTGCCCGGATAATCCGTCGAGCTATGGCCGTCTCGTAACACAGATGTCTCAAGACTGAGTGACCGCTGAGCTGCTGTAGTTGAGATACGGCTGGTTTTGGACGGCTACGTCCTGTTTTGAAATCAATGGTTTCTCTTTTTTACGGAACTTTACGGGATGTTTAGCGCTTCTATCACATGCTGGGCGCCTTCCTTATGGATTCACATATTGTGTTTGCATTCGAATCTCGACAAAAGTTTTCCGTATACCTATTAGTACTTTCTCTCACGTTTGCGGGAGTTGGCACACGGACATGTGTTGGCACTAAATCATGGTGCCGGCGAAGAGAAATGTAGTTAACGTGGGCGTCATCTGGGAAATATTACTCTTGGCCACCTGTCTTTCATTTGCTCTCGACGCTGTGGGATGGAGAAAGGTGATCTACGTGACGGCATAAACGAGGAGTTCCGAGTTTGTATGAGTGGTTCAGTGCTCAGACCCCGACGTCACCATCGTTTATACGGAGTTTCGAGTTCTCACAGTGTATCACCGTGATTGCTGCATGCCATCGGCTGCTGATGTCATTTACTGATGTCACATATCCAGCAAAATGATGGTCGTTATGCTAGTTCGGTGAAGAGACGTCATGATATGATTGCAGCCGATGTAGGTACGGGCTCTCCGACCTGTAATCGTCTCACACTGGGTCCTGGGTCCCCTGGCTTTTATTTCTTCATATCTCAAGATCGAGGCTTAGCCTCTATTTTTACCTGACCCCTCCCCTCTCTCTCTTTCTCTAGACGGCGGCCTGCTGCTCTCCCGGCAGCTCCTGGTGAACACCGAACGAAAGGCCGAGTGTGAGGCCCGCCTGCAAACCTCTGCTCTGACTGGTGATCAGGCGCTCATCTCGTGTCTGGAGCTGCTGGGCGGTATCCGCTGCACCGACCGCGCCCAGGTAGGTCACAGAGGTCATTCGGGGGTCATCAGGGGTCATGTGGTATCTAGTTCACTGAGGTCAGCAGGGTTAGGGGAAGGGATGTAGGGGCAGAGGATCGGATGTAAATGGAACTTGATGCTATCAAGGTGTTTAGGGCTATTGGGGACAAGTAGGCGTTTAAAGGTACTGTTCAGACATGATGACTATAGCGTCCTCAGAGCGGTTTAGGGTTCAGATTTGGTCAGTATGATGACTGAAGCGTCTGCATGGACGTTTAGAGTTCAGAGTTGGTGTCTGATCTGGATTACATGGGGCGGAGACGGTGGTCACAAACCGGTTTGATGATTTAAGTTCAGGTGGACTGGACGCTAAATTAGGTCATGTCGAACTCTATACTCGTTCTTTGAAGGTGAACTGAAATATTTAGGTTGGAATGGATATTGGGAAATTCCAGATTCCTCGGATTCATCGCCATGCATTCTAATAAGTATGCGCTGAGATAAAAGCATGGTTATATTTCTACCTTGCTGTTGCTGTATACCGTTCATCTTGTTTCATACCGTTTAGCCTGACGCTTGCCACTGCGTAAGAAAAGAAAACATTTTATTTAATCAAAGAGCCGGCACTACGAATGCTCGATGTTGTTAGCTCGTAACATCATCCACCATTGTCGTGTGCTGTCCTTGACGACCTTCCTGTCAAATGAGACCCCTCACCTTATCTGGACCCCGTACCTGTGAACGCTACCGACCCCGTGCCGTCATCGCCTCGGCTGCCGCCGCCGCCGTGGGCTCAACGCGTGGGCGATGTCGCAAACACCGGTCGGGGCCGGGCGGCGGCGGCGGCGGTGCGGTGGAGGCGGCGGTGCAGTGACCTTGACAGAGGGTACAGCGGCGGCGGTCCGGCGCCGAGCCTGGCCCGAGGCTGGAGAGGAGAGAGGGGCGGAACGGAGTGGGAGTGAGAGGAAGGGATAGCGGGGGAGAAGAGAGGAGGAATGCTGGGTGGACGTTGAATACGAAATATAGAGAGTGGAGGAATCGGCACTCGACAGTGCCAGTGGATAGAGGTAAAGACATGAGAGCAGAAGATGTGTCTTTCCTGGAATTAAGTATCGGTTGGTGCTTCATTGAACAGATAATACCGATCTACGGAATGCATCGCCGACGAGATAAATACTAGTTGATGTCTCACTCTCAGATACGATCCGATGATCGCAAAAATAACGATCCAGTGTCGTTTTACTCGTGTGCTGCTCTTACGTATAGAACTAAGGTGATTCCATAATCACATCTTGATCATCTGTGATATAAATGCTTTACAGTGTTCCATTTTTGGGAATTTTGGGTGGAAAATCACACCTAATGGGCAAAATATTTTCATCCCCAAAACCAGGTAAATTGGAATTCTTTCATCTTTGAAAAATGCTCAACTCATGCTCAACAATTAACAGCCAGATTACCAGATATACCTAGCAGCGCCATATAGACAGTTAGAACTTACAGGTTTGCTACATTAATACATAATTTCCATGAAAAAAAAGATGCTAAATCAAGGCACAAAGCCAACAACTCACCCTGACTGACAACGAAAGAAAATAACCTTGCACACTTCCAGCTGTTAATAACAAATATGCGTTGAATGACCTTGATCACCTCAACTGTTTGTAAAAACCAGGATTGTGTTCTGAATAAATGCTTTTGGATATTCATAACAACTATGATTAGTGGTTTGCTGCCAACGCAAAACGGATGAGCCGCTGCTTGCGCAAATTAAACACTACCTCTGCAATTCGCTTTTGACTAAGTTACGCAGGATACGCCTACAAAATTTTCATCTTTGGACCCGCAGTCAGCTGGGCACACCCTGTGCACACCCTAGGGATGAATTTAAAACTTGGTGGGCTCTAACTTTTTTCATTTACAAAAGAGGGGTATGAGACAGATACCAACTTATTCTACATTCATTTCTGATCCTGTTGTATCAATTTCACCACAAATTATGTCCGTCAATGGCTTCTAGAGGACTTAAAAGCTCGATGCGTCGGGCCTGGCAGAGGTCCAAGATGAGAAAAGCCACCCTGCGTACACCCTAGGGATGAATTTAAAACTCCGCGGGCTCTGGCTGGTTTCATAGGTAAAATAATGTTTTGAGACCGATGCCAATTTATTCTGCGTTTATTTCTGATCCTATTGCATTAATTTCGCCACAAATTATGTCCGTCAATGGCTTCTAGGGGACTTTAAAGCTCGAGGCGTCGCGCCTGGTAGAGGTCCAAGATGAGAAAAGCCACCCTGGGCACACCCTAGGGATGAATTTAAAACTCCGCGGGCTCTGGCTGGTTTCATAGGCAAAATAATGTTTTGAGACCGATACTAATTTATTCTGCGTTCTTTTCTGATCATATTATATCAATTTCACCACAAATTATTTACGTTATTAGTTTTTAGATGTCTTTAAAACTCGAGGCGTCGGGTCGGGCAGGGGTTCAAGATGACTGACACGCCACCCTGGCACACCCTAGGGATGAATATGAAACTCTGTGGACTCTGGCAGGTTTCATACGCGAAATGAAGTTATAAGACCGGTAATGATGTATTTTACGTTAATTTCTCATGCCTTTGCAATAATCTTACCGCCAATTATTCATTTCAATTAGTTTCTAAAGGTTTTTTAAACACGAAGCGTTCCGCCGAGGGAAAGCCAAGATGAATGAAAGGATACATTGGCACACCTCTACTTCTAGGGATAAATTTAAGATACGGTATTCCCAGATCTGCCCAATACATGTTCTGAAGCTGGTGGATGGGATTAAGAAGGCCCTAGCTTTTTAATAAATTATCCCTCGCCCGTATAGGGGGGGGGGGTCGAACGAACCACCCCCTCGTTTTTTTCGAGAATAACTCGCGTAAAAAGCGGCCGATCGCGACGAAACTTTCAGGACCCTCGAGTCAATTAATTTGACACCTACTCTGAAAATCTCATATTCCTGACCCAAATGACCTTTGACCTGTGACATATTTCTTGAGGCCATGTTTGGCCGGAATCGCGATTCGGCGAGCCGCTAATGCGTTCCGTTCCGTTCACTCCCGTTCCGTTTCGGGTGTTCTGGTCAGTTGTGCTCTCGCTTTCCCTTCCGCTTGGGGTGTCCTGATCAGCGATGCCCTCCGTTCCGTTGCAGTTGCTCTGATCAGTGATCACTGATGCCCTCCGTTCTGTTGCGGGTGCTCTGATCACTGATCACTGATCATTGACGCTCTCACTCAGCACTTATCACGTGACATGATACGAAGCTATCGCTCCGTTTCGGTGGCCGGCCATGAGGTCGGTGGCATCCTTTTATCATTTTTTTTTGCATCCCGTTCCGTTCCGATACGAATGCCCTGGTTAGTGGTTAGTTGCACGCTTTTTATTGCGATGTTGCGTGTTATGCTGCGCAGTGCACACTGCACATCGTTCCGTTTGGGGTGCCCTAATCAGTGACCCTTTGTCTAGTCTCATGTAGTGCACCGTTCCTTTCGAAGAGTTGCGCTGACACCGTTTCCATTTTCACTATGCGTAATGAGTACCGACTATCGCTGGCCGTTCCGGCGTTCGGGCCGGGAGATTTCCGGCGTATGTCATGCTGCATAGTGCGACTGCAATTGCATACTCAATACTGCGTCCCGTTCCGTGTGCTCAGAACAAAGGCACCATTTCCAGTATCATCCGGCCATTGTCATATCTGTTGAAGATGGAAATTGGAAAGCTCAAAGCTATACTGTGTACACTGTATGAATATTACCAGATCAGATGCGAACGAAAACTACATACTTATATTGCCGCATATTATCTCAAATATACAGTAATCTTGGAAGCGGTGCTGCCATATGTAGGCGCAAAACGTCCCAGAGGCCAGAACAAATGAGTTATACGGTTTCTGGTTTCATAGCGATCAGTTACGTCAACAAACTGCCCATCAGGGTATCATGATTACCTAAGATTTTATGTCTGACAGTGTCACAGTGATGACCACGCCTCACGCATTACACAGTCTGAGTCAACTGCACTAAATCAATAATACAGGACGACAGAATTGCCCTTTGCAACGGCAACGACAGGTTCCTTCCCACTTCCTTTGCTTAAATAAGAAAGAAAACTTCTCCACATGGCAGTAGTACCAAAGCCTGCATATAGGGAGAGCTCCCTCATCCGCCACTCCCCCACCCTCCTTAAGATATGACAACAGATTTCAACAGAATCATTGCATCTTCTGCTTCTTAAAGACCTAGTTCGCTCGCATGATGGCGACTGGCGTCGCGAGGATGGAGGTCCGCGGATGATCTTCTTTAGGAGAAATATACAGGCAGAAGGACCGTCCTGGATCCGTGCCAGTAAGCATGAGTAGGAACTTAGCAGATGCTGACGGTAATATCTGCTGTCTGCATCTGAAACGGAAAGGAAGGCATTGATTTAAGGCTAGGAGAAGGATGGCCACTGGACAGTCATTCAATTGTGACAATGCATTTTGACGTGAGGAAAATGAAATCTCACTGGTTGAAGTAGGTATTCATTCTTAGCTGTATAAGAGACAAGGGTGATTCTTAACTTCATTAGTCTCAATCAAACACAAAGGTTGGGATAAAATGGGACGGATTTAGAAACACTTGGCGATCAGATGCTAAAGTTATAATTCTGCCGTAGATCATCCTTACCTATTTGCATCGTCTTTTTCGGTTAGTTTTGGTGGTCAGGAATGGTATGTTCTTTTATTATCAGCCAGCGTAGCGTTACGCCTTTATTGCGAAAGTGATATAGGTTTTCACTTGTGTTTTTTTCTCATCCTAGATTTTTTGGTCATCATCGTCACACCCAACCAAAATCCAATTTTAGAACACTGATGCTTTATGCTAAATCCACTACCTGTTGGGGCACTGTGAGTCAGTTCCCGCGCGTCACTCCTCTCTAGTTCTCTACCGTCCAGTCACAGGCCAGTGAGCCCGTTCCCTCGGCCGCGCACAGACAAGGTCGGCTGGGCGTCGTTAGCGGTCGTCAGCAGTCATTAGATGACCGCTTGGCTTGACTTCCGCCGCCTTCACGGCCTTGAGCTGTGCGTGAGCTACTGGGCACGGTGTTGAGTGACTGGGCACGGAGGCTTGCTCGTTCAGTTTTTACTACTGCAGTTGGCATCATCCAAAAGGGAGGTCATGACATTTCTCAGAGCGCACTTTTTTAGAATGCATTAAGTTTAGCTATCAGGCGGATTATGAATATAACTACCTACGTTTTTTAAGGACTATTCTCTCAAAGCACGTTATCTCACTCGGTGTCGCCTCTCTGTCTAAAAACAAACTGTCATTATCTTCCTGTTATCTGTATATTTCCACACCATCCTTCCCCAAATTCTCTTGTGGTAACACCCGACCCCCGTTTTCACCTCACGGCTCATTATACTGTTTCCAGCCGAGTTTAGTTTAGTAAAGTTCAGCTCTGACCGCCATTAAACCCCGTGATTCTATGCCCCACTCGCCTTGATAGGGCTCGTGGCTCATCCCTTACCCCTCTTCCCACAGAGTAGGTGGTTCGTCTCTCACCCCACCCCTCTCTCCGTCCACAGGGTAAATGGTTCGTCTCTCAGGAGGCGCACCTGTACGACCCGTCTGCCGAGGGCGACCTACCGGGCCTAGTCTCCATCCAGGCGGTTCACTCTGCCGCTGACCACAACCGGCTGCATGCCGCCTTCTCACGGCTGGAGATCGCTGAGATTGACGAACGCATCGGTCAGCTGCGCCGTGCACTGGAGGATAACCAGAGGAACCTGCACGTGCTCAGCAGGGCTAAGGCTGGTGAGAACCGCGACGGGAGGAAACTGGGTACTGACTCGTCTCTCTATTTAGGCTACATTGGACGGTGGAAACTAGAAATGCTCGCTCAGTGTTGCTGACGTGGTGGCAAACTGAGACATTTGCGTAATGTTTCAGTTAGGAGTTTTTTTTTTTGTCTGCAACCTTGGAACGTTTTCTTAGCGTTATTGGTTGTTTTTTTTTTACGTCCTTTTAACCATATTCGAACTTGCTTCATTAGTGGACCTCAAGACCTCATATTACCTCAATCATACTCCAATGTAATAGTTATATCAACCAAACCCTGCCCTCTGGCCTCTCCCCAGACTCTGACCTCCCCTCTTCCCCTCAGGCGACGACTCCAAGGAGGAGTCCGGCGAGCCGGAGCCGCTGCCGTGGCCCACGGGCTCGCCGGCGCCGGTCCGCACGGCCAGCCGGCACCACATTAACATGTGGGAGCGCTTCTCCGAGACTGAGATGTTCCTCCGATCGGAGCAGCAGGTGGTCGACCCGCACACCGAGGTGGACAGACTGGATATTCAGGTGAGTGTGGGATGGGGGCGGAGAGGCGACGTAGGATTGAGAGTGTGGGAAGATAATGCACAGAGGCGATATTGTGGGGGTGTTGTGATGAGTGAGGAAAATTGGATAAATGATTGGATGATGAAAAACGAAATGGAGTTGTGGGATGTTGTAATGGAAATGGTGAAAAATCGACCTTTGCCATTTGCAATTAATGCATAATTAGTTTGGGTAATGGTGCAAGGATATGGCCATCTCGTTTCATTGCCATTTTTTTTCTTTATGCGGTCAGTGTCTCGTACTGACCACATTCATGCCTGCCTCTATCCCTCCGGCTGGTACTGAAGTTATACAGTTGTAGATTCACGATCCATGTCATCAGCTGCGACTACGTCGTCAATTCAATGTGTAACATCTACATACCCTCTCGCCTGATCTCCCCAGGACGTGATGGAGCTGGGCATGGCCGAGCTGCGCAAGACAGCCCCTGTACAGCTGGTAAAACTCCGGGCCGGCTACCGACGCTTCGACGGCACCCGCGGCATGGACTACATCCTCGACCTGGAGGTGCAGCCCGACTCGGGCGGGGCTACCCAGACGCGTCGTGTCGAGGTGCACCGTCCTATCCTGAAGGCCGAGCTGGTGCCGATTCCGTTCGTCACCGAGAAACCCACCGTGTCCATCCTGCTCTCCGTCCAGCCCCACCACGTGGACCGCGCCCACACCTTCGTCCAGGAGCTCATCAACAAGAACGAGAACGTGGCGCTGATGTTGTTCCTCGTCCCCGGAGACGCCGACACGTCTCTGTTCGAGCCACTCAGGAGACTGGTGAAGCAGGCCAATGAGCGGCGCTCGGCGGCGGCGCACAGGTTCGAGGCGGTGGTGTGGCCCCACCGCGAGCCGCCGTCCCAGTTCGATATGGTGGATACGGTGGGGGAACAGACGCGCGGCCGGTGGCAGCAGGCGCTGGTGCTGCTGCTGAGCGAGCCCGTCGAGTTCAACTCGGAGCTGCTGAACAGGGTGAGTGCTGGAGCAGCTGGAGGGACGGGTTGGGAACGGTTGGTTGTGGCTATGATATCTCGATGACTCACAATATTACGTGGTTTTTGACGTTGGCTTTGATGAGCTTGGAACTTTTAGATACGTTTTCACAGCGTGGTCATATTGCAATTTTGACTAAGTGACCTTCCCATCTCGTTCATACGTTCTCGTTCCCACGTACATCTCGTTCCCAACTTCATACGGTACTTTGAAGGGTGGCCAATCGATGTCCACCCTGTGCTGCAGTCCTAGTTTTCTCACTGGATCCAACACAGGCCCATATTACTGCATATTCCTTACCGTATTGGGAGCTCTTTGTCAGCATACGATCAAAATGTTCTTGTGTGTAACGAGTCCGTACCCCATAGTTCAGCATCTCTGACATCACCCCCGTTATCCCTACAGGCTCGTATGCAGACGATCCGCGGCTGGGAGGTGTTCTGCCCCATCCCGTGGGTGGAATACTACCCGGCTGTGGGCTACTATGGAACCACCAACCTGAGGCCCGACAAACTCGAACTGCGGAAGGACTACGGCCACTTCGACGGCGAACACTATGCCATCATGTCGTTCTATATGGATGACTACAAGATCGGTAAGTACGATAGCTGAGAATGGCGCTGTCAGACAGCGCCATTCAGACAGCGCCAAAAACTATTATGGAGATCAGAGTCTCTGACCTCACATAGTAGTTTTTTGCTTTTGCACGGCAGGTCTGTCATGTGCCGGACTAAATTAATGTGCTGATGTGATTTGTCGGGAGTCGACCTGTATAATTGTTTTTAGCGGCTCCGTCTGACCCTCCTGTATTGATACACCGCTGACCCCCTTCTTACTCTGTCCCTGCAGTCCGTGAGCAGACGCTGGATTCTGTACCGATGGGAGTTCCGCGGGTCGGAGACAGCTCCAGTCGCCTCCCGTACGATCTATACGGCGCCTTCGTCAAGTTCTCCGGGCTGCACGTGCACCGCGCGGTCGACCCCAGCTTCCGCCTCTACTACTTTGAGCGCTCGTGCCCGGCGCCGGCGCTGTACTTTTACCAGAAGGCGTGCGAGAGTTCCCAGATGCACGGACTGGGGCCGCACGATAAGCTGTCGCGACTGCTGGCCGACTTCCGCCTGATGCAGGGTGAAGACTCCCGGCACGTCAACGCCATCTAGCGAGTGGACGACACTGCCACCTAGCGGCGGGGAGAGGCTTCTGCTCTGGGATCGACAGTGACCAACGCCGTCTCTCACCCTAGCGCTTTGACGGAATGTTTAATGAGAATTGAGATTTCCACCCAGTATGACTATTTGTACTTACCTTGACATGTGGAGTAAGCCGTTTTTATAACTATCTTGCTGACTCCGGTGTGTGCCAATAATGACCTGAAATGTATTTACCTTTATTCCTACCGCTATTTTAACGTTTTATTTGTAAATATTTTGCGTTCGTCGCATTCAATGGTAGTTACTACTTATCATCAAGATTTGGAACATATGCTCTCATTTGTATACATTTCTCATGTTTGATAAATCGTTTTTCTCTAAGACTTAATGAAGTAAACCACTTAGATCAAAATGCTGGGGATCATAACGATTGGAGTATATTATTTTCATTATCTTGCGCCAGTTTATATCTCAACATCTCATTGTCTACCAACCAATCTTTCGCCCTGTAAGTACAACTTCCCGTATACTTTGCTAGTGTCTGCGGCTGTCTCCCCTGTACCTTGCTGCCTCTTAAACATTTCAACTGACGATCAAAATGTGACTGATGTGCCTTATGCGTTTTAGCTATTTATTTCTTTTATATGGTTGACATAGGATGTTTATTCCTTCTTATCAGGTACTGTGTTCTACATTCGCGATATCTTTAGATGAATTTATGTCTATGATGTTGCGATATGTGAACTCGCCGTTTTATTTGGCCAAATATACTTCCCGGATCATTATATTTGTCGTATTCCTCATTAACCCGCGCCCTGCTGGGGGGGGTGTTTGAACACCCCCCCTTGTGGTTTTTCGCGAATATCTCAAAAACGGCGGCGCGGAGCGCCGCCGTTTTTGGTACACCTTATCACACATCAATTCTACACATGTTGTGAAAATTTCAGACCAAGGTCATTCAAGGTCAGGTCACCAGGTCACTTGAAGTGACCTCACCTCATAAAAAGTTTCAATGTCTGTCATAGCTACACCGAGTGACCGATCGCTTTGAAACTTTCAGCGATTGCTAAGAGCAACAGCATGTACAAAATGTATATCTCAGAATTTTGATATCGATGACCTAAGGTCAGGTCAATTTTGCGACCTCCCCATTATAAGTCAATGGGAGAAAATTCAAATGCGCCTCTTTTGGACGAAAGACATTATAAACACTCCCAAACACTGAATTACAAAAGGTTTAGACACACTAAACATGAAAATAGTGTCCGTGACCCCTGTTTATGCCCTGAGGTCATCTTAGGTCACGAATGGTATCTAACAGTTTTTCGCAAATAACTTTTGATAGAGGCATGCTAGAGCGATGAAAACGCCTTAGATGTGTTCAGCTGGACGATACGGATCGACTGATAGGCAACATGACCTTTTCCGGTCAGGTCATGACCTTGACCTAAGGTCAAATTTTCAAGTTGACCTTTCAAGGTCAAGTTATAGTTCATTCGATGCGTCTTGACGAGAGGAACACGATGCCGGTAAAAGTAAGCTCGTACAAGGCTTGGGTCAAAAGTTATTGCAGAAAAACTGTTTCCGAAAAAATCGGCTATTTTTGCAGTTTTTGCCCCCTGCAGGCAAAACCGTTGACGTTAGGTCAAATCTGAGAGAATTACTCAGAAAGGGCGTTAATAGGGCTATCGAATGCGCTTTTCCGCGGCGCTGTAGCTCTATTGGTTCCGGAGTTATGCGTTGGCTTCTTGGAAATTGTCGACATTCGACCTGGAAATCAGCGAAATTTTGCCTTCAATGACCTCTGGTGACCTGACCTTTGACCCGGAGCAAAAAATTGACCGAAGTGATTTCCTCATTATTTTTGACGCTCTTTCGAACGCCGCCTTCCGCGTATCGCTACGTGGCCCAGGAGCCGAGTTAGAAGGGGGGGTGTTCAAACACCCCCCCCAGCAGGGCGTGGAAATCCAGGACCCCCAGCCGGGCGCGGGTTAACAGGAGGGAAAGCCGATGGGATGAAACATCGCTCCGCTCGTTTGTTATGGCCTGACGTTGAATAGCCGATTCCTGAAAGTTCACGCTGAGCAAGCGTAAACATTCGTTTTTAGTGAATCCTACGATTTCGGATGCAATATGACCTACACCTCTCGATCAAGTGATGCCAGCTGCCCATTGACGTGGTTCATTGGATGTGCACTCGGTAGATCGTTTAGGAGGGCCTTGACCACTTTGGTGAGCACAGGCACATGTCCTGTGCTCACCCTGGTCCCGCAGGGAAGTGAGGCCTGGGGGTATTGGCCCCATCGATACGTAGTACGTACTATATTTATGCAAATCGATGATTCATTTATATTGAAGTCCATGGCTTACGCTACTAAATATTCAGCTCTCGGCGGACTTTGAGCCGACTGGGGACGACTGACGACTGAGCGGACAGCGGACTACTGTACTGCCTATAGTTTGGAATATTCAGCGTTTCATTTACTTATATAGGACGGATTGGTATGCGTGGACGGTAGAGCTCAGAGTTACACCGTTCCACTGACTTGCAAGTCCCGACTTCAAAGAGCGTAGAATGTGACACCGGCATTCCCAGAAGCTATTGTTCGGCCGTCATGCCTTGTGAGTTGTGGCCCAGTGGCGCAGCCAGGATTTGGTTTCGGGGGGGTCATCGCCTCCAAAGCGGGCCCCCTAGTGTGCGGGCCCCACCCATTTTTCAGAATTTTTCCATATTTCATACGCATTCTGCTGAGCGGGCCCCCTTTACCTACACGATAACCCTAAGCGAGTTTGAATCGGAAAATTTTGATAGAGCAATAGCTCGGTAATCACCCGACCGGTGTTCAATTTCTACGCGAATTGACCATGACAGAAATATGTTACCATGAGGTACGAATTCGTATCTTTCGAGGCCGAAATGTGCCCCTTCCGCAATATGCATAGCATATACGCTAACAGAGCTGTTGCCTGCTTCTATCGGACAATATTTAAGTAGTCCCATGTGCCTGTCCTAAGTCATCTATTGGCTGCTGTAGTAGATTGTATCGACAGAAATATGTTACTACCAGTAAAACGCCTTTTGGGCGAAGAACGAGCGAGCGAGATAGCGAGCCCTGCACGTGCGGAAGGGCGAGAGGGTACTTCCAACAGGCTTGTGCATTTGCAAAGCACCCTTCTAACCGGTCGCTAGCGGTGCACCAAATTTGAACGCGATCGGCCCAGCCGTTCCTGAGATCAGGAAGCGGCATTCTGCACGTGCGCACGTGCGAACGGGGTCCAAACTGACTTTTGCACGGCACACTACTAACCGGTCCCCAACCGTGTACCAAATTTGAGCGCAATCGGCCCAGCCGTTCTCGAGATCTGGAAGCACCCCGCTGCACGTGCGCACGTGCAGTAGCACCCTAACCGCAACACATGGGATCGCATTGCCTGTTGGGTGCCTACCTGTATGCCAAGTTTCAGCGAAATCGCCCCAGTAATTACCGAGTTATTGAAATGGGAACAAATTTGGCACCTCTTCTTTTTGTATTTTGCACGTGCAGTGGGGTCACTCACATAGATCAACAGTACCCGACCTTTGGTAGAAGGGATGCAGCTACCCTACAAAAATTACAACGAAACAATCGCCCAAGCGGCCCAGTTCTCCCGGGGCCCCGGACCCATCCACGGGAAGCCCGGGCCCTATCTACAAAGGGGGGCCCGGCCCCGTTCTCCCAGGGGCCCGGGCCAGTTCTCCCGGGGGCCCGGGCCCGTTCTCCCGGGGGCCGGGGCCCCATCCAACCGGGGATCCGGGCCCCGTCCACCCGGGGTCCGGGGTCCGTTCTCCAGGGGCCCGGGCCCATCCACGGAGCCCGGGCCCCATCCACCCAGGGGGTCCGGGCCCGTTCTCCCAGGGTCCCGAGCCAGTTCTCCCGGGGGCCCGGGCCCCATCCAACGGGGGGTCCGGGCCTCGTCCATCCGGGGCCCGTTCTCCCGGGGTTCCGGACCCATCCACGGGGGGCCCGGGCCCCATCCACACAGGGGCCCGGGCCCGTTCTCCCAGGGGCCCGGGCCAGTTCTCCCGGGGGCCCGGGCCCGTTCTCCGGGAGGCCCGGGCCCGTTCTCCCGGGGGCCGGGGCCCCATCCAACCGGGGTCCGGGCCCCGTCCACCCGGGGCCCGGGGCCCGTTCGCCCGGGGGCCCGGGCCCCATCCACCCAGGGGGTCCGGGCCCGTTCTGCCAGGGGCCCGAGCCAGTTCTCCCGGGGGCCCGGGCGCCATCCAACCGGGAGTCCGGACCCCGTCCACCCGAGGCCCGGGGCCCGTTCTCCCGGGGGCCCGGACCCATCCACGGGGGGCCCGGGCCCCATCCACTCAGGGGGCCCGGGCCAGTTTTCTCGTCCGGTTAGATTAGGACCTCTCTCCTCCCTCCCTCCCCCCCCTCTCTCTCTCTCTCTCTCTCTCTCTCTCTCTCTCTCTCTCTCTCTCTCTCTCTCTCTCTCTCTCTCTCTCTCTCTCTCTCTCTCTCTCTCGAGCGGGCCCCTGACAGAAATTTCGGGGGGGTCAGCTGACCCTCTGACCCCCCCTGGCTGCGCCACTGTTGTGGCCTGTGGGTCAGCGTCCTATGACGATTTATGGAATTCAATGACCTGTTTGATATGCTGAAATGGGTGGAGGAGGTCTTCAGGTTTTCAATCGCTGCCATTTTTATGCAAATGCATCGATGCCGGCTTATTAAAAAAAAAAGCTTCTCAACGTAGCACTGGGATGAACGATGACCCGGCGGGCTGATTCCCTCAGCTGATGCTGATCGGTCATGGGTGTAGGAGCGCCAAAAATATTGGTGAAGGATGTCACCTGAACCCTCGGAGAAGTCATCTGAACCTCCGGAGAAGGTGCAGGACCTTACCGCAGTGGAGGGGGGGGGGGGGAATTTCGTCAACTCCTCCTGTTTTTTTTTTCTCGCTTTGGATACCTACCAAAGGTATCCACTATCCAAGCATACCTTTGGAACCTAAAGGTATGCTCCACTGCTCTTTTTTCGTGACCAAAGTTTTACAACTTTCCCACGAGTAAAAACAAGCCAATATATTTTGATATTCACGGCATTTACTGAGATTAACGGAAATTTCTGGGTATGAGCGGCCGGCCGACCGGCCGCGGTCACGGTTCTGCGACGCTTATATCTCAGCAACCACTTGACCGATTTACACGCGGTAATTTTTGTACGGTAGCTTCATTCCTTCTACCAAGTATTGGACTATTCCCGATGCATGTGGGTGACCCCTTATGCACGTGCCACGTGCAAAACGAAGAGGTGTCACTTTTGTAATTGTTGCAATATCTCGGTAACTAGGTACGTACTTGGCCGATTGCGCTGAAAGTTGGCATGTAGGTAGGCACCCACTAGGCAATGCATATCCATGTGCCAGAGTTGGGGTGCTGCTGCACGTGCGCACGTGCAGGGGTCGATTCTAGATCTCGACAATGGCTGAACCGATGGCGCTCAAATTTGGCAAACAGTTAGGGACCGGTTAGTAGGGTGCCGTGCACAAGTCAGCTGGAGGTACCCCGTCGAAATTTCGCACGTGCAAAGCTCACCCTCTCGCTCGCTCCGTTAGTCGCCTCAAAAGGCGGTATACTGGTTTATTAACCCGGCGGTTGCTGGGGTATTTCGCCACCCACCGTTTGCTGGGGGGGGGGGGGGCGTTAAACGCCCCCAGCCGATAACTCGAGAACCAATAGGCGCAGCGAAACGCACGAGGCGGCAAACGAAATAACGCGACGAGACGCTTCAGATGAGTA